ACGTTAGTACCTTATTTCCCTTCTTTTTTTTTTCTTTTTTTTTTATCACACAGGTTAGTCATCCAAGTGTTCACTCACAGTTTTACTTGTGCTATTTGCAGGCAGGTCCTCGGATTTGTCTAGGGAAGGACTTTGCTTACCGGCAGATGAAGATAGTAGCGATTGCTCTTCTTTGCTTCTTCCGCTTTAAATTGGCTGATGAAACGAAAAGTGTAACATATAGGACCATGTTCACCCTGCACATAGATGGCAGTCTCCCTATGCTTGCAGTTCCAAGGACAGCCTGATAAACTTCCTCTATGTGAAGCTGAAGCAAAACAATGTTCACATAAACTCTTGTGATATTGGAGTTTGAACGCTATCTTTATGTATATACAATTAAATGACACGATAGCATGTGATATGTTATATTTAAATAGAAACAACCTTGTTGTAATGTGTAAATTACCAAACCATGAACCTTCCAAATTTGTAAAAGTCAATTTCATATCCAAATTTGTACCACTCAAGTTCATATCGGTTTCCATTATTGCTCATAAAAAACCATTGACTTTTTCATATCCAAACCAATAATGCTCATAACAATGTCCAACTCTATCAAGTTCATGACGCCTACAATTAACTTCTACCACTCAAGTTTTTTTAATTAATTTAAATCGACAAGGAAAAATAAATAACATTATATTATTGATTATTTACTCAAATGGTCCTCAAACTTACACTCGATTTGCATTTTGGTCCCTCAATTAAATTATTCGCTCAAATAGTCCATCAATTCTTTATTATTCAGCAAATTGGTCCACCGTTACATTCTGTCAATATTTCCGTTAAATATGAGGGCAAATTAGTCATTTCATACGTTAAAAATAAATAAATACTGAAAAATGAAATTTAAAATTACATAAATACTGAAAAATGAAATTTAAAATAAAATAAATACTGAAAAATAAAATAAAAAGATCTTACTCTCTCTCTCTCTCTCTCTCTCTCTCTCTACAAATACAAACCCAATTGAATTATACATATTAAAAAAAAAAAATCAAAATACCAATTTTGTGGCTAACCCTTTTTTCCTTCTTCTTTTTGGTCAACATTTGACCTGGAGCTTTAGCTCTTCCCATCAGCCCTCAGGTGTTGTACTAGAATACTGGGTGGAGCATAAGGTGGATGAGCTTGATGCAGGCGCACGAGAACGACAGAAACAGCAACTCATACACAATTCTAAATCTCATTTCTGTGTTCTAAACCTATTGCTCTCTCTCTCTCTCTCTCTCTCTCTCTATATATATATATATTGGTTTTGCGGGTGTGGGGGGAGGAGGAGGGGCCTGTTGCCAAGAGGGGGAAGAATGGGAGAGAGAGAAAGAGGGGGGAAAAAACAGAAGGGGGGAGGATTCTGTGGATAAATTATAGAATAGTATTGTACTACCACCTCAGTTATGATATTTCTATTAAAAATATGTCATGTGTCATGGTTTTATAAAAAAATTGAACCTTTTTTACAGTTGGATTTAAAACATGTATACCATTTAAAATAAACTTAAAAAGAAAAGAAAATAACGTAGAAGACGACATAATCCATCTCCTACCCCAACCCAATCTCCCTACATCGCCACCACACTGCCTTCCCTTTCTGCCCCTCTCTCTCTCTCTCTCTAAAATTGCAAGATCTCTTGAACCCGTAAATGAACCTGCAAGATCTCATCAGCATTGAAAAGGGTCCAATTTCATTCAATTACTACTAACAGACACCTCCCACCCCAACTTCTTCACATCCGATGGCAATTTGAAAATTAGAAGTTAACAAATTAGTGAGAAAAAGGAGAAAAAAGAAGAAGCGAGTCTTGGGGTAGCCACCAAAAGGGTAAGAGGATTGAACAGTGATTAAGCGGTTGAAGTGCGTGAGAAGGACCACATAATGAGAGAGAGAGAGCGTGAAAGAGAGAGAGAGCGAGGAGGGAGGGAGGGAGGGAGGGAGGAAGAAAAAGAGAGGGAGTGGGCATCGGTCAGGAAGGCAGCACGAGGTGGACGACGGGTGGATTGTGGCTCTTTTCCTTTTTCTTTTTTTTGATTTTTTGATTTCTTAGTTTTATTCAAAAGATAATAATTAGATTCCAAATCCAGTTGTAAAAAAAATTAAAATTATTATTTTTAAATGACACGTGGCTGTTTGAGCCTGGTTGAAATTTGATCGAGTCAGGCCCGAGATTCGACAATTAAACTAATAGCGAGCCCAAGCTATATTTCATTGGGCCTAATCAATAAAGTCGGATAGAAGTCCAAAATCATAAATGTAGCAAAATATCTACATGTGGTGGAATACACCAATCTGGCCGAACACATCAATATGGCCAAGAGCATAAAAGTGGTTGAAAGCCTATATGCGGCCGAAAATGTAGATATGCCTATTTGTGGCCGAAAATGTAGATATGCCTATATGTGGCTGAAAATGTAGATATGCCAACTTGATGGTCAACTGAAGTTATTGTGGGAGAGCTCAAGATGGAAGGAAAATCAAATCAAATATTATTATTCACATTAAATCACATGCATGAGACAAGGGATTGAAGGTATTCTGGAGCAATTATGATTGATTTGAAGGCCAATTGACGACCGACCAAATTGAGACGCACTGAAGCCCCTATAAATACCAAGCTTATGGAAGAGAGAAAGGACCCCCGACACAACACACAACTTGTCATTTTACATTCTCTTCAATTTCTATCCTAGGAGTAGCATAATGTAACCATAGCCTAGTTCTTATTTTTCCCGTTCTAGTTTCCGTAGATTTCAATTATGCCTTTACATTCTTGTTCTTGTTTTTCAATTCTATTTTAATTACAGTAACTTCAATTCATGTTTCTTTACTGTTCTTCGTAATCTAGTTTACTTTCCGCCCTTTACTTTACGCACTCGCATTTCAATTATTTAATGTACGCAATTTACATTATGTACTCGTCGTTAAATTCTTTATTTCACACACTTTAAATTACGCACTTGTCTTTACATTCTTTATTTTACGCACTTTACTTTACACACTCGTCTTTAAATTCTTTATTTTACGCACTTTACTTTCCGCACCTGTCTTTCAATTATATTTAAATTCAAGCACCTTTTACTTTACACACGTGTTCTTCGTTCCATTACATTTCACTTTCAATCTTCATCTCCACCCATTCCACATCATTTGGTTGCTCACATAAGCCTTGACTCCGAGGTAGTGAAAGAACCTAGGCCGTGATGAAGTTCGTTGCTCGGCCGAATAATCGTTTGATTAAAGTTAGATTTTGGACGCATCATCTACTTACATTCCATTCAAGCCTAATTCGTAACTTGGTGGCCCGCACTGAATTAAAGAGGGACCAAAAACTCTTTCAATCGGCCTACCCGGCCGAAAAGAGGGAAACAGTGGCATTAGGGCTGGGCATGGTACGAGATGACATGGAATGGAGGTCATCCCGGTGTCAATCCCGAATAGGAGAATCGGGATGACATGACACGTTATGAGAGTTTTTGAAAACACGTTCAAACCATATCGGACCCAAATGGGACCGGTATGATTTGGTATCAATGTTGATACCGTAAAGAATTTGCAATAACCTCAAACTTAAAAGTAAATAGTGAACTCAATATTCACCGGCAAGCCTCAAGGGGCACAACTATGGTAAAATCAAGAACGTTAAACAAACACTCCAAGCTATAACAAGAATAACCAAGCTATTACCATTACCATATTGGTAATAACTATTAACAGCACACAGATTCAAATTGGCAACATTAGCATTCAAACACATAACTATTAACTAAATCAGATGGGGAACATGGAATGACCTGAAATGCCACAATATTACAATCCACTGAATGGAAGTTTTGCTAGGAAACATCCAAGGAAGAAGAAGGCCTGAAAGGCGGGGGTGTGAAATCTAAAAGGACACCAATCTAAGCCCCACAAATATGGCAAGCAAAATAATAATAGTATACTACAAAGAATTAACACGAGTGTTGATTTCTCAATGCTCACCGAGACCTTAACTACAAAATAGATCAGTTCTCACACAAACCAAAATATGAAGCTGATGCTAATTGTACTCCTATTTCTAGCCCCACTTCTCCTTCGTTGAGCCAACCAAGGTACCAGCACTGATGTCAGCAGTAAGCCTCATTCCATACTTGTGCTTAAGTTAGACAGCATATTAAGTTTACTCATCCATGCTTCACATTTCCAACATACAAATGCTTTAATACGCTACTGCGATTTAGAGTAACAAATTATCAACAGTAACACAAAACCCCATCTACTAACCTTAAAGAGATAATGATATAGCCTAAAAGATCCTTTTACAAATGTCTGTGGAGAGAGAGGAGGAATTGAAATTAAATTAGGATTATTATTTAAATGTACTATTCAGTACGCTATGACACCAAACGGGATCACAAATCTGGAACCGTTGTCGTGCCAAACAGTAACGGGATGACACGGTATCATCCCGTTTACAAGTCAACACCAAACGGGACGGCACGAGATTGGCATGGTTTGGCACAGTTTCGGGATGGTTTCAGTATTCCGGTTTTGATGCCCACTCCTACGTGGCATATTTTCAATGGAAGTATCATAAACTGAGGTGGTAGTACGGTAATATTCTATAATTTCTCGAGCATGTGGGGGAATGGGAGAGAAAAAATCGGAGGGATGGACGCTGGGTCCTATGATTTTTTTTTCTATTTTTCTTCAATTTTTTTTTAATTTTATGTTTATTTTAACCTTATTTTGATTTGTTAATTGGAAAGTCATATTTATCTTAAAATTTGGTAAATCTAACAGAAAATTAGATGGTATGACCAATTTGCTGAATAATAAAGAGTTGATGGATCATTTGAGGGAATAATTTAATTAAGGGACCAAAATGCAAATTAAGTATAAGTTTGAGGACCATTTAAGTAAATATCCCTTATATTATAGGTCAGCGTAGAGTCCTGTTTGGTTACATTTTTATCTCCTCTTCATTTCACTTTCAGTTTGCAACCTTAGCTGAGAGGCCAAAATTCTCTCTCTCTTTCTCTAGACTATCTACTACTCTGTAAGGCCTCTAGTTAGCTAAAAGAAATATGGGTATTTTCTATATCATCTTCACCTTCATATTGTTCTCTCTCTTCCTAACCTTATCCCTCTTCATACTTAGAATCTTCACAGGCAAGTCCATCAGAAACCCGAACTACCCACCTGTAAAAGGCACTGTCTTCCACCAGCTCTTATACTTCAACAGACTCTATGACTACCAAACCGAAGTTGCCAAAGAACACACAACTTACAGGCTTCTGGCCCCGGAACACAGCGCAATATACACAACTGACACGCGAAACATTGAGCATGTTCTGAAGACCAACTTTGGCAGCTATTCGAAAGGGGAGTATAACCAAGCTATTCTGTCTGATGTTTTTGGCCAAGGGATATTTGTTGTTGATGGAGAAAAGTGGAAGCAGCAGAGGAAGCTCGCGAGCTTTGAGTTCTCCACGAGAGTTCTTAGAGATGTTAGCTGCTCAGTGTTTAGAAGAAAAGCTGCCAAACTGGTTAAAGTTATTTTTGAGATTTCAGTTGCCAGGAGGGTTTTTGATATGCAAGTCAGTAATCTGAGAACGCCAACATATCTTTTCTTGTTTGTAACTTGTCTTGTGGTCTTGTTTAAATCACATAGAGTTATTTAATAATAGCATAACTAAATTTGACATTTGACATACAGATAATATATTACTGGCTGGTATAAACTTGTGTAGTGTCCCCTTGATCAAGTTGGTTTGATAAAACATTAATCAATTTAGAGGGCTGAGCTAAGGTCAACTTTAATTTGGCTGGTTTTTGGTACAAAAGAGTAGAGAGAAGAAATCATGATCTGTGAATCTGATTTCATAACAGCTGATGTAATGATATAAGTTGTTATTTACTTTTTTTTTGTTTATGATTTTTTTTTGTAGGATTTGCTCATGAGATGTACCTTGGACTCCATATTCAAAGTTGGGTTTGGAATAGACCTGAATTGCTTGGAGGGGTCAAGCAAAGAAGGGACTGCATTTATGAAGGCCTTTGATGAATCAACTGCTTTAACCTATTTCCGCTATGTTGATCCGTTCTGGAAACTGAAAAGATTTCTCAACCTTGGTTCCGAGGCCTCCCTTAAAAAGTATGTCAAAGTCATTGATGATTTTGTGCACCAAGTTATCAGGAGCAAGAGGAAATTTCTAGAGGAGCAAAAGGATGTTGTAAGTGAATTTTACACTTGTATAGTGGCTTTCCATGTGCTTATATATATTTTTTTCTTTTGATTCTGCATTGAAGTTTCCATTTTATAGCATCAGTTTTTATTAATGAAACTTTGAATTTTATGTTATGCTTCAAAGAATGACAAGGAAGACATACTATCAAGGTTTCTATTGGAGAGCAAGAAGGATCCAGAGGAAATGAATGACAAATATCTAAGGGACATCATTCTGAATTTTATGATTGCTGGCAAAGACACCAGTGCAAATACACTCTCATGGTTCTTTTACCTGCTCAGCAAGAACCCTCTAATACAGGAAAAAGTTGTACAAGAAGTGAGGGATGTTGTTGGTAATCAGGTCGGTGAAGCAAAAATCGATGAATTTGTGGAGAACATTACTGATGGAACTCTTGAACAAATGCATTATCTTCACGCGGCATTGACAGAAACGTTGAGGCTATACCCTGCAGTTCCCATTGTATGTATATACTCCAAAAACCTTGTATTAATTTTCTTTATGGATAGTTTTTGAATGAGATACTGTTATTTGTTATAGTTGTTTGTGAGAACCTGAACAGGACAGTGCCGAAGCCTTGGTAAAATCTGTGCTAAATATATCAAAACCAACGCCACAAGACAAATATTCCTTGAGAGTACCCCATTGTGTTGGCTATTATCAAACCAAAGATGTTTAGGCCTAATTATTCTTCAGTTTCCATTAGGGAAATGAGTTTAATATCTATGGTTCTGTACATTAAGGTGAAATTTTCATATACTAAAATCAAGGCCAAATTCGTAAGCACTGAAAATATTGACTTCTTTGTGTCCTTGGCTTTCCTCTAAGGATGGGAGATGTGCAGATGTAGATGACATTCTTCCTGATGGCTTTAGAGTGAGAAAAGGAGATGGAGTAAACTACATGGCCTATGCCATGGGCAGAATGCCTTATATTTGGGGAAAAAATGTTGACGATTTCCGGCCTGAAAGATGGCTCAACAATGGAATTTTTCAGCCCGAATCACCCTTCAAATTTGTCACATTTCACGTGGGTAACTTAATTTCTTTTTATTTGTCACATAGCTTAATCATCTTAATGTTCACTAATAGTTGTTTCACTGAATTGGTGCTACTTGCAGGCAGGTCCTCGGATCTGTCTAGGGAAGGACTTTGCTTACCGGCAGATGAAGATAGTAGCAATGGCTCTTCTTTGTTTCTTCCGCTTCAAATTGGCTGATGAAACAAAAGCTGTAACATATAGGACCATGTTCACCCTTCACATAGATGGCAGCCTCCCTATGCTTGCAGTTCCCAGGGCGACCTGATAAAATCTCCTATATCTGAAGAAAATCAATGTTCAAGGTTATCACATATTATGATATTGTTATGATATTTGCAGGTTTTTGCTCTCTATTCTGTTTGTAATTAGTAGATAATGGAAACAACCTTGTAAATATATGTAAATTAGCAAATATGTAAAACCATGACTTTCATCGCCCAAGAAACTCTCTGCAATCTTGGAAGAACCTCAGCAAAGATTTGATGTCGTTTCTTTTCGTTTTTGCCCACACAAACAAGCAGTCTAGAAAGTAGGGGTGGGCACAGTCCAGATTGGATCGTTTTTATCTTAAAACCACGGCTGAACCAATTACTATATAATGGTTTGGTTTGGACAAAAATCACGGAGGGGGAGCTTTAGTTTTCACGCACAATTATAGTTTACTATTTAGGTAAATATGAATTCAATTTCAGCTAATTTGGATAAAGCCAAAAGCCAAAATATAGTACTTGCTTTTACCATAATATAATTAGTTGGGTTAGTCTTTTTAAGAAGAAGAGTAGTATTATCTTTTTAGTTATTATTTATAAATTTGTATATTATTTTAAGCTAGACCAACGAATCTGGACCTCCTCTTTGGCCTAATTCAAAATAACAATTCTTTCTTAGGTATTAAAACCTAAACAAAAATACATAATGTCTCAAATACTAATTAGTAAAGTTACTTATGTCTAATACTTATTTTTTTAAAAGGAAGAAGTAGCACCAATTAAGACAAAAATGCTTCGTGACTTCAAATAAAGGAAGATAAGAGGGAGGGATGCACAGACAGAGGGAGTTAGAAGGAGAGAAGGCCATAAAGAGAAACAGGGCTAAAGTTTAGTGAAAACTATCTTTAGTTTCATGACATACTAATGGTGATGGACACAGAGTTCCACAATAGTACCTATTTTTTTCCAATTCTTTCCTTTAAAACGCTGAACTGCCCTCCGCAAGATTTCATCCTGAATATAAAGAGAGAGGAAAACCATAAGCACTACATATTCCCAAAAAAAAAAAAAAAAAAAAAAAAAAAAAAAAAAAAAAAAAAAAAAAAAAAAAAAAAAAAAAAAAAATATATATATATATATACAAGTATACGTTCTGATTCGATTTAGACTGATTTATAAAAAATCAAAACTAAATTATATACAATTTGATTTAATTTTTAAACCGTTTGACTTTTTCTTTATCAAAACTAAACTAAACCAAATCAGATAATTTTAATCGGCAAATGTAGTTGGTTGGGCCATATTGACGCCCACCCTACTAGAACGAGACCCATGAACTTTTGCAATGCCAATCCCAACAACTCGTGGCAAAACCTATTTTAAAATTTTGGACCATCATAATTGCCACATGCACGAAACGTGGCATACAACCACAAACGACCAACGTAATGTGATAGTATTATTCATTAAGTTAACCATTAACAAAGTTTAGCAGAAGTTTTGAAAAAAAAACCATTAACAAAGACTTCTCTCTATATTAAAAACAGTGAAATATAAAATAAAAAAAGACTACAGATTACTGTCTGAATCAGCCATGGACTTTCTTTCAAACCCCGTCTTCCTCACAGCTCTGGTCCTAGCCTTATCCATTTTCACTGCCCAAATACTTGCAAGGAAACTCACCAAGGCAAAGAAGAAGCACCCACCTATTGCTGGCACAGTGCTCCATCAGCTACTTAACTTCAACAGGCTACATGATTACATGACTGATCTTGCTGGGAAACACAAGACTTACAGGCTGCTTGGCCCCTTCAGGAATGAGATTTACACCTCCAACCCAGAAAATGTTGAGTACATACTCAAGACAAACTTTGATAACTATGGCAAGGTATGTTTCCAAATCCATCTCTGGTTAATTAACTAGAAAATCATGAATCGGAAGATGTTCTTATGTTACAAGATGTTTATAGTTTCATGGGTTGCAATTAAGTTTCACCAAAATCTGGTTTTGCAGAAAGAATTGTGATATTTCTACCAAGTCCTTGGTCCGATTCAACTGACTTTCAAGATGCTACCCCATAAATAGAAATAATGACAATATACGGTCATTTCGAATTTTTCTGTTCTTGTGTAAATTTACTGTCAAGATATTAAGGATTAAAGCTGATAATTTTATGATAAGATCATAATCTTGCTAGGAGCCCACGACAAGTTATCTTGAATGCCATCAGGATGGAACCTAAGTTTTGAATTTTTGGTGAATTTTTTTTCTTTTTTTTTGGACTCAGGTGAATTCTTGGTATTAAGGCAGGGTCTAACTTGCTCTTGTGCAGGGATGGTATAACTACAATATTCTGAAGGATCTTCTGGGTGATGGAATTTTTGCAGTTGATGGTGAAAAGTGGCGCCAGCAGAGAAAGATATCGAGCCATGAGTTTTCGACGAAGGTGTTGAGGGATTTCAGCAGTGTAATATTCCGGAAAAATGCAGCAAAACTTGCTGATAAGGTGTCAGAAATCGCAACTTCCAACCAGGCAATTGATATTCAAGTGAGCTTGCAAAACTCATTTGTTCACAAAGAAACTAACCCAATTTGATGATCCTAATCAACTAGCTATGGTATTAATGTAGGATCTATTTATGAAATCATCCTTGGACTCGATTTTCCAAGTAGCATTTGGTACTGAATTAGACAACAGGTGTGGATCAAATGAAGAAGGCAAGAGTTTTGGTGATGCTTTTGATAATTCAAGTGCATTGACCCTCTGGCGATACGTTGATGTTTTCTGGAGGATCAAGAAGTTTCTCAACTTGGGATCAGAAGCTGCCTTAAGGAAAAATACCAAAATTGTTAATGATTTTGTGTTTAAGCTAATCCACAACAAAATTGAGCAAATGCAGAAAAAGGATAATGGTCCGGCGACTGTGAGTGACACTTACCTACAAGTTTCTGTCTCTGATTCAGTTTAGAACCATGATACAAACTTGTTTTACACTCGATGCAGGTGGACAGAGAAGACATTTTATCAAGGTTTTTGCATGTGACTGGGACTGATCCCATGTACTTGCGAGATATAATTCTCAATTTCATTATAGCTGGTAAAGACACAACAGCAACCACACTTGCGTGGTTCTTTTACCTTCTGTGCAAGCATCCATCTGTACAAGAAAAAATTGTACAAGAAGTGAAGCAAGTAACCGGCATGAAAAAAATCACCAACTTTTCCGAGTTTGCATCTGGTGTGAGTGAAGATGCTCTGGAAAAGATGCAGTATCTCCATGCTGCAATCACTGAAACTCTCAGAATCTATCCTGCAGTTCCAGTGGTAAGGAAAATTATAATGAATTTTCTCTTCATCTCAGCCCATAGGCAAAGAATATAAAAATCAAAGGACTAACTACATAAAACCTTGTGTTGTGTTCTTATTACTTTGCTTTCTAGCTGCAATGAATTTCTACTTTAGTGTGATATCCTGGCAAAGTTTTTTTTAACTTCCCAACATTTCAAACATCCATTCTGCTTTGATTGCAGGATGCAAAGATATGCTTTTCTGATGATACTCTGCCAGATGGGTACAGTGTGAGGAAAGGAGATATGATAGCATACCAACCTTATGCAATGGGCAGGATGAAAGTCATATGGGGAGATGATGCAGAAAAGTTCAGGCCGGAGAGATGGCTCAACGAGAATGGAGTCTTCCAGCCAGAGAGCCCTTTCAAGTTTTCAGCCTTTCAGGTTTTGCTTTTGAAGCTCATCTTTATCCTAGACATATCTAACTCTTCTGGTTAACTTCATGACTGAAGCAACCAAAATGTCCCTAATTTCTTTGTATAATGTATGTGATGGTTGACAGGCCGGACCGCGAATATGTCTTGGAAAGGAGTTTGCTTATAGACAAATGAAGATCTTCTCAGCCGTTTTGTTAAGCTGTTTTATGTTCAAAATAAGTGATGAGAACAGAGTTGTCACGTACAGGACAATGATTAATCTTCACATTCTTGGGGGTCTGGAAGTTCGTGCCTTCCACAGATAATTTAGATTAGTAATGTCACAAATTATGTAACATCATTTATACTTAAAAGGCAACCCACAACATGTCCCTTGTCCCTTGAAAGGATTGAACTAGAATATTAAGACTATTTTTATTAATATTTTGATAATAGATTCACAATGCAAATGTTCCACTATAAATGACCCTATATACAGACAAGTTATAATCAATAAACAACTTTTTCAGGAATCTCTGATTTTAGTCATTTGCCTTGGTATGATACTGATCATGTATCCTAGAAAACTGGGTCAAACTGAATTCAACAAAGAGCTTCAAAGATATCAACAACAAAAATACTCCATCCTCTTTCCATACATTACAAATTTAACCAGCACTTACAAATTCCTAGACTGTAGCAAATGAACTCTCGCTGCATAAATTACAAAATTGCAGAGGCATAGTACCCCCTGATATAGAGTCACAAACTTCAAGACATGTATCCATAATGGTTTCACCAATTACAATGCTGTTGAGGTCACAGGAGGAGGAAGCTGAATTCCTGGCCTTGCATTCCATCCTTTCCGTTGCCTATACGCCTCGATTGCCTTGACTCGAACCCTCTCCTTAGAAGCATCTTGTACATTCTTCAATGCCTTCACAAAACAGGGGAAGTTTATAATTAAACTGAAGAACTTTAATCTGTACTGTATCATAAAGAATGTATTTTGCTACCTTAGGCACAACCAACTTTGGAGGAGCTTGAACTACGTCTCCAAATTTGATTTCCTCACGTCCAGGAAAGTCTATATTCTCTTCTTTCTTGCCCTTTTTCTTTTTGTTTTTCTTTGCTTCCAAGTACCTGATTATAAAAAGCTTGTCAGTTGTTACCAATCAGTAGAAGATGGGTAAGCTTGATTCATTTGATCACCGCAATGATACAATAACCCAAGAAAATTGCAAGTTGTTCACTTTTCCAGATGATTCATTTACAAGCATTCTGATACAAGAACATAATGCAGTCATTCTGACCCCGCTATATTATCCATGCAGCATTCCACTTCCAGGAAGCTAAACATTCAATACTTTCATTCGAAAACGGTGTTAAAATACGTACTTTTTCTTGCGCTCCTTTCTTTTTAGTCGAGTTTCTGATTGCTTCGATGCTTCTGTTTCAAACCGAAGGTCATGCGGTTGCTTTCTCTTTCTTTTCTTCTTTCTCTTCTCATCTGTATGTTGAGGTTCCAAATTCTCAGCATCACCCTCATCTTCAAAACCAGTCTCGAAGTCCACTTCATCCGTGGGTTTCTGTTCACATAACCATTGTTTTTTTTTACTTCGTTATACAACATGCCAATGTCACCAACTCAAATTCCATGTAGTAATAATTAAACTAAGCCTCAATGACATTGAATTGCAATTATCAAACTGTCCAAACCAAACCAGAAGCCAAAACCCAAAACCCCCAATTTCATAAACATATGCATATATAACTTTTGTAACATAAGTGCAACGACAAGGCAAGCACTTACTGGCTCAGCAGCATCAACTCCATTTTCCCTCTGTTTTCGTTCAGCAGCTTTTACGACCTTGAAAGAAGAGTCTGAAACCCATTGATAACAAACAATTGACAACAGTAAGTTTAAATAGGGAGAAAATTAAGTAAAAATATTTTTTCTTTTGAAAAAACCAAACAAAAAGTGAAGAAGAAACCTTGAGGGTCATGAGATTTAGTGAAGGCGAGGAGTTTGCGAAGTTTAGAGGGCAAAGCGTCGGCTTGGGAATAATCAGGTGGTGGCGGCAGCCTTGTGTAGCCTCCGTGCGCTGCATTGTAGTTCTTCTCTCTTCGTCTTCTTCCTTTACCTCCCATCTCTCTCTCTCTCTCTCTCTCTCTCTCTCTAAACCCTAAATCACTGCAATTAGGTGGCTGTGGCTTTTTGGGCTTATTTGAGGCCCATCCTCCTCTCTGTGAACCCTAAATCACAGCAATTAGGTGGCTGTGGCTTTTTGGGCTTATTTGAGGCCCATACTCCTACCTATCTTCTCTTTTCTTGACCCGGTAAAAATTATTTCAAGGAAATATAAAATCTCAGCTCATCTTTCATAAATATTCACCAAAATACCCTCTAATCCCAAGTCCTAATTTTAGCTTGAATTTATTAATTTATTTTTCAAGAAAAATAAAAAAGAACAACTCCAAACTTGCTCTTAGGTAGTTTTATAGAGAAAAAAAAAATTGTAATATGGGTACCATACTATTAGTGTGAATTTACCAAAAATTTTAACAGTGTCGATTACAATTGGCACTCATATAATTTAATTAGTATCAGTCACCCAAAAACTTTCTTTTAAAACTTAGCAAACAACTTGAAGTTACGGATTGTTACACTATATTGAAACTAACCACTATTTTTTTCAAGTGGTTGACCTTATTTTCACTTATATTTACACTAAATTGATGATGTGTAGCGTAGGCAATTTTTCAACTCTATATCTTAAAGGTTTGAGGCTTTTTAAATAAAAGAAACTAATATATGTGGATAACGCTAATGGCTATAACTCGGTTGAGCTCTTCCAATTTCACCCATGTGGGCAGAACAAGACACCTATTTTTGCGTAGCATCAATTAGCATCCATTGTGAACAGAGGTTAGGCTCACCAGTGTCATGTGCGGTCGTGTAACTATTTGTAACTTTAAGATTGATTTTGTCAATTTGTTACATAAGGAAGTCCTGTATCATCTTTTTTTCTTTTTTTTTTCTTTTTTTGGGTCTGAAAAAGTCTTGTATCATCTTTAGTAGACAAAATAATAACTTAAATTTGGGGTCGGGATAAAAATGCAGACAAATTGTAAACCATAATAACGTAACAACTACTTCCAGTGGAAATTTCGACTGATTCAGTTCAGTTTGGCACAAGAAAACCAAGTTTCAATAAATCGCTCTTCATGAACAGTCCTGGCAGCCAAATCCAGTACTTTACAAGAATGAATAGCTTCTATATTTCCATTCACTAAAATTAATATATAAAAAATCAATGGACAAAAATGAACAGCTCGAGGCCCCGATAGACTTGAACTCATCATCTCAATGTACATACTTACAACCGAATTGAGTCAAAAAAACCCTCGCAGCAACTCTAATAACCTGTAACTCTAGGTATAAAGATAGGGTTCTTCTGCTTACCTAATACACATATGTTACACTCAAAACACAGCTCAAAACTGAATGAATTGGCTCGATTAACAAAACAGGGGGGGCCGCTGGCATGCCCTTGCAGTTCTTGCCTTGGTGGTAACTTGTATTGGGTATTTCTGTATCCTTTTCCAGTATGTCCTAAAACTATGATTTAATGAGGGGACTTAGCCCATCGCCTTCCCAACCAAGCTTGAGCATGTGATCCACCACTTTCAAGCTCAACTGCAAGCAATAAGCAGCAGATTTACAATGTTATAGGAAAGTGAATTATATAATTATTACGCACATTTAAGTCAGAGAAGGTTCCTCCAACCAGATTGGAATCCCAGTATCAAGTTGGATAAAATCACAAAATCAACTCTAATAAAAATTAAATGAGGAAAACAAATTTTTGACTTACAGCAGGATCCGTGAAAATTATCAACTGTTTATCTGCAGTTGACACCAAGAGGTTTGTGTTATCTGCGTTTAGTGCTAGAGAGATGATATCCTGTCCTTCTCCCAACTTCAATACATGAAAAACCTGCAGCGGAAAGTACCACAGGCTTGTTAACAAGATAGGAACCAGTTCACTTATGAAACCAGACATGCATTACATCAAATGGGTATGATCCAACCCGGGAAGACACATCAGAAAAGACAAGAACGAATGAAAGCCCCTATTACAGAATTTTTTATCATGTGGAAAACAAGATCCCCAATTGTCAAACAAGTCAGATTGTTCCAACGTAGGAAATTTAACCAACAAAAAAGTCAAAGAAAAACATATGGCTAACCTAGAAGGAAAGCACCCTAATTTGCATTTCTCATACCTTTAGTGTATGAAGATCCAGAAAGCAAATTGAAGGCAATGTAATGTCCAATCTGTTGTTTTCGTCAGTTTTATCTGGCTCCTGGTTAAGATCCCCAAATTCTGTGTTATTCAGTTTCAAATCCCAGCTGCCTCTATCAATTTCCATAGATGAGTTTATTCCAATCAAAGCACTCCATCCATCAACAGAAATTTCCATACAACTGATGCTACCAGAGAAAGGTATCTGAGCTCTGCCAATCAGAACCCCATTAAGAGTAAAGGTATTCAGAGTATTGAGTGTTTTATTCCAAGTCAATACAATTCCCTCAGATGATAGGCAGACAGCATGCGCCTCCACACCAGATAGCCTTCTGATCAACCGACCTCTTCTTATAGAGTGCAAGAGAACATCTGATGAATCGGAGCATGAAACAACAATGCCAAGATCTGAGCTGACACAACAACAGAGTATTTCCCTCTGGTGGCCTCGAAGAACATGTATGGGACCTTCAATACGACGCCTCCTGCTTTTGTCTGCTAATATGTGTGATAAATTACTACCACTGGTTGTGCGCGGTATATCTGTCCCACCGGAAGGCTCTGATACACCACTAGAGCGAGAGGTAAATGCCCTATGTATTCTCCAAAGTAAAACAGTGGTGTCTCGGGATCCCGTCACAAGGTAGTTGCTATCAGGTGAAAGTCCAAGGCAAGTCACTGGAGCACAATGGCCAAAGGCTGTCTCTAATGTTTTTGCTCCATCTGATGATATTATCTTGATACTGTTATCTACATGCCCACCTAGTTACAAGCCAGAAACTAGCACTCAGATTCCAATTTATTTAAAAATGATATGAGACAGTTAAAACAAGATATAATATATGCCCAGCTAGTTACGAGCCAAATAGTATCACATGATATTTTCTGAATAAACAAAATGAGGTAAAAACTTAACACTGGTTTATCATTTGTATTATTAGGAACACTGACAGCTTTTTACATACTGCATAGGTTGAATAACTGTCAATTTAAAAAACACACGAGCACACAAATGAGAAGGGAAAATTCCAAATTTCCTTAGTCGCGTCTTCAAGTAAGTGCCCTCATATTCTCTAACATCAAACAGACTATTGACCATATTAAAAAAGAAATTCACACATTTATTGAATGGCAAAGGCTCTACCACCTGCAGTTATACATAAAACATTTTAAAATGATGCATAAATGGAGGAATAATGTTGTCATAATAAAATGCAAATACCCAGAAGAAAATTGTTCCACAGTCAAAGTTTCCTATTAACACAAAGTTATGATAAGGTTTCCTATTAATTTATGTTGTACTTCCACCATTTTATTGCTTTAATCTTACTCTAAATTGCTAATCGCCTATTTGGTAACATTTTTTATTTTGGTTTTTATTTTAAATTAGAGAAGGAAAAATGAGAGAATAGTGAGAAGAGAGATGATATATGATAGATGTGAGAGAGGGATGAGAAAATGTATAGAGAATGATTCATAAAATATAAACTAGAAAACCAAATTTTTTTAAAACAGTTTTGGTTTTATATATTCTCTCTCAGTATTTATCACGACTGAGATCTACAACAAATCCTCTAGCCTTTGGGACATATTTTCCCTCTTTAATTTTGAAAAGGAGAAAAAAAAAAACTAAAAACCAAAAACATAAATATTATCAAACATTAACAAAATACTTTTTACATAATAGCACAAAGCAGAGGGAACTGAGGTAAGGAAGTGAACACATACCAGTGATTATTTCTTTATCACATGTTATGGATACTATAGCTGAGCTTGTAATTCCAGATGTAGCAAATGCCAGCGCTTGGGGAAAATGCCATTCATCAGAACCAGATCCAGCTGGCCCTTTGAACATACGGATAAACGTTCCACCAGTGGAGCTTGCTGTAGCCTTACCATGTTGAAAGAGGAAAGGCATACCCTGGCCATCGGGTGTGTTTGGCTGCCACTTGTGCTCTGCAACATTTGCTGCTGGTGCATTTATATTAGCAATAATGACAGCATCTGACGAAGCATGAATGGCTGCTGCAGGAAGATTGCAGCGCTCAGGAGCAGTAACAGCATATGGTTTGACTTCTTTTGGGTTTCGAAAGATAGTCTGACATCCAAAAATCAATCACGAAAATGTTTCATATAAAGGAAATCTACACGTAATGCATGATAATCCAATACCAGAAATATTTTCATAAAAAAATCAAATCTGTATCAGTTATCCAAAATGTATTATACAGTGACAGATGTATTATTCAGTTAAGTTTCTTGTTTTTCACAAGATAAAGTTACCTGCAAATGAAGAACATCTGCCAACGGCAGCTTCTTCAAGTGAGGAATCGTAAGCAGTTGGGATGGTGTTTGCCCAAAGTATGCAATCTGGTCCTGTGTTGCACGCTGTTGTACCTGTTTTGGCAGATTGAGGGAAAAGGAAATTATGAATCAACCAATTATGGATAAAATCAAACAGATGGCAAAGGAAACTAGACTTACTGGGTCTGAGATCTTATCAATATCAACAGTCCCTTCATAGGTAATGTAAAAGAAGACATTATTTGCCACTATAGCTTCTTTGCCACGTTGCTTATACCTGAATATTCCAATTCATTAATGAAAATAACAGTTTCAAAAAGAAAACTCTCAAAGTTGATATATACAGACAAATTCTAGAGTTGTCACCAACTTATAAAAGATGACCAAAAAGGTAAAACTAAACAAGGTGAAGAAAACAAATAATTTATAAATAATTTTGGTAAAAATAAATCTCCAAACAGAAACCTACCCGAATATGAGATCAATCCATTCATGCAAATGTGCAGATACATGCTCACTTTCAAGAGCCTTCCGATGCTTATGGATGAAATCAATTGGGTTTTCAGCCCAAGGTGGAAGTTTGACAGAATCTGAAATGTA